GTAGAGACACAGATGAATTAATTTCTGATAGGGATGTTAGGAGTATTTATAGTTGGAAAATGTTAGTAAAAAGAGATAGAATACTCAAGATAGACAAAGACTGGCAATAGGGGTTGAAGACACGAGCTTACAGAAATACGAAGAATTGACGAAGTTGAACAGTATAGAATTTTAGGTAAGGTAATTAAGGGAAAAGCCAGCTATTAGTACAAGGTGCATGCAGAAACGGTTGCAGTTAGATTTCTAGGTAAAGGTGATTAGGGACAATAGAATAGAAACAGAAAGGAAACAAAGGCATGCAAAAGATAAGAAGTCGTACTCTACATTGCAGAAATAAAATTAGGAAAAATATATGTACAAAATATTTACACAAAAAAAAACACTAAAAGTTCTTTCGCCACAGGATAAAGGGAGATAAAATTTCTCAAAATTTAATGATAAGTAAGTAATAAAATCACAAATTGTAAATCGTCACATAATTTCTATTGAATACCATATTTCAAACTGCTCCTGTCCCTGTTCCTGTAATCTTACGATTTACTGAGAAATGCATCACAAATTAAAAAAGAAAAGAAATATATTTCCTATGCAGTACGAGTGTGTGCTACCACAATTAAAATGAAGATAACGCGCCCATACGAAGCTGAACAAATTTCCATCAGAAATTGTAGTTCAATAAGTCTTTATTAGAATCTTTTCCGCTGACACGACGCACACACCCTCACCCTCACCCTCACTCTCTTACCCCCACTCTCAAGTTAAACATTTTCTGAATCTGGATCATGACAACAAAAGTGAGCTATTTTTCCCTGCCAAAACCAATAAAAAAAGATTTTCACGCAATACAATAGGACAATCAAGATTCAACTCCACAATATATTATTGGGTCTTCCATTTAAAATAACAAAGTTAGGTAGCGTCCAGAAGAAATGAAACACCCTGTATGAATGAAAATATTTTCTGTATATACATCATATGATTCCAGACATCTATTATAATACAAGATTATATTAAATGTATAATAAAAGGCAGTTATACAACTGAATCTGAAACGTAGAGAAGTAAATATTAGGAAGGGAGTCAGGCAGGGATGCACACTGTCACCGCTACTTTTTAATCTATACATTGAAGCCTTGATTAACATGTTTAAAGACAGTACAACTGTACAGATAGATATACAAGGGCAAAAGATTAGTATACTTAGATTTACAGATGATATAGCAACATGAGCATCTAGGAAAGAGGAGTTAGAGTCAGCTTTAAATAAAATGCAAGCGGTATTGACGAAACAGTATTATATAAAAATAAATAAAAGTAAAACAGAAATACTGGTATATAAGGGGAAAAAAGTAGGGAAAGAGCGACTATACAGATAGGAAACGAAAAATTAAACGAAGTGGTATCTAGGAAGTCAGATAAGTCAGGACGGAAGGATTAGTAGTGATATAATAGAAAGGATAGCGCAGGGTCGCGTCGCCATCATTAAAAAAAGTCAATTCTATACTCGCGAATGGTTAATTTAAAAATTCCAAAAAGATTTTTAAAGGTGTATGTTTAGAGCGCGGCGCTGTACGGATGCGAAGCATGGACGGTGGTCGCGGCGGAAAAGAAAACGTTAGAAACGTTCGAAATGTGGTGTTACAGGCGAATTATGAGAATACCGTGGATAGAGAAGGTTAGAAGTGAAGAGGTATTAAAAATAATAGGAGAACAGAGGACTATGTGGAAGTCAATAAGAAATAGGCGAGATAGGTTGATAGAACACCTTCTCAGAAGAGGAGACCTACATTAGATTACTGTTCATATATAGTTAAGGATATGGGATGTGGGATGCTTCAATTTTAGGGAAATGCGAAGATTAGCTCAGGATAGGAAAGAGTGGTAGTGCGTGTCCGATCAGTCTTAGGACTGACGACCTTATGATGATGATGAACAGAGTTATAGACAAAACCACCTTAGGTGAAATACCCTGTATATGCTGCGTTGTAGCTTTAGCTTGACAAGGTAATACTCTCGTAAGGCCCTTCTAAAAACAGCCGTTAATATCAAAAAATGGTTGATCGGTTACTTAGCGAAACTACCTGAGGCGTGCTGATGGGAACGGATAATTACACAGTAAATTATTATAAAAAAGTTGATATAATTTAAATGTTTATACTAATAAATAAAGTCTTTTTCGGCCTTCTTATTTTAATATATAGATGAGATAGGTTAGTAGAACACCTTTTCAGGCATGAAGGACTAGTCAAAGACATTAGAGGCAGACACGGGAGTTAGGAGGGGTAGAGGTAGAGCTAGGTTAGATGACTGTTCATAAATTATAAAGGATGTGGGATGTTCTAGTTTTAGGGAAATGCGAAGATTAACTTAAGATAGGAAAGAGTGGAGGTGCGTGTCCAACCAGTCTTAGAACTGACGACCTTATGATAATGAAACTTAAAATATGGTAAAATCATTTTTAAGTACATGCTACTATCAAGCATACGAGTTATTGATATTTATGCGTTGAAGTAGTTTCGTTTACCTGTCTTATCATTTCTGGAGTAGCGTCTAAAAAGTACCTTCCCGGATAGGGTTGTGTAATGTCAAAAATATTTGTCCACGACTGGGCCCACATATTTCCTAAAATGTGAGCAGGAAGTGGTGCCTGACGATTTATGTTTTCCGGTCCGTAATACTCCCTCAATTTCCTTCTGACATACGNATAATTTAAATGTTTATACTAATAAATAAAGTCTTTTTCGGCCTTCTTATTTTAATATCAATGTATCTTTTTCAATACGTCTATAATATAATCCATGTACTGCTAATGATTTGTTATGTAACGCGTCCACAATAGGTACTGTAATTCAATATTAGTCATAATTGAAGAAAATTGTCGGGAGATAGAATGTTATGTGGTAATGGTACAGGAAATTGTGACTATATTGTGTAATTACTGGAGCTTACTCACTGTCTGTATTTATAATAGTACTGGGCTTACATACAATGGGAGAATTAGATAAATACAAAAAAACAGTATCATTTTACTGCAACTTACATAGGTGTCAAGCTACTTATCTTGATATCTAATGCATTACATGTATCGAATATCACATAGTAATAGGTCATTGTTTAGAACAATTATATAACAATTAAAAAGAGTATTAATCGCAAATGAGTAAGTAGTTCATTGCAATAAAATCTCGACAACAGTTTCTATTTTTATGTAAGGTAAAAAAAAGATTATCGATGCAAGAGTATGTACAGTACCTGCCAAAAACATGTGCCACTCAGGTATGTACAGTACAAGCGAATTAAAATTCCGACAGAGTGATATTCTATTACATGCAATTTTCAATGAACGATGTCATTTTTTGAAAAATATGACGTAGTATAGGAAAATAGACAATAAAAGCATGACTTTACATGTTTCACTCTAGAGATGTTTGGAATAACTATGTGCATTGTTGTTTGAAGCCTTTATGGCAATTTTAGTTTAGAAAAAATAGAGGAACGCGGGAAACCTTTCTAGTTTTATATATAACGACAGGGAAAACAAAAGAAAGAGCGCGTACTTTCAAAGAATTAACATTGTTAAATGGGACATGATATTAAATATACTTAAAAATGTAGAAAAAAGGTTAGAAGCGTTCGAAATGTGATGTTACCGGCGAATGATGAGGATACTGTGGATAGAGAAGGTTGGAAATGAAGAGGTATTAGAAAGAATAGGAAAACAGAGGACTCTATGGAAGTCAATAAAAAATAGGCGAGATATAGATTGGTAGGACACCTTCTTAGACATGAAGGGGTAGTTACAGATATATAAGAAGAAGGAACATGGGCTAAGAGGAAAAGAAGGAGACCTATATTATATTACTGTTAATAAACGGTTAAGGATATGGACGCTTCAGTTTTAGGGAAATGTGGAAATTGGCTCAGGATAGAAAATAGCGGAGGTGCGTGTCCAACCAGTCGTTGGTCTTAGGATTAACGATGATGATGATGATAATGAAGATGACAACTCTAATAAACATTTTGCGCATCCGGAAAATCAATTATTTTTGCCAGTATACTCAACAAAATACATAAGTACAATATTTCTTAGATTGCGGCAAATTCTTTAGCAATGTGAACGCGGAAATACAAAACAACGAAAATGGCACTATAATCACCATTGCATACAAACACTTAGGCACCTTCACAATCACTCTTCTCGTAGTCGCAATTTGCATCTATTATTTGGTCGGTTTTACGCTTTAATCAACATCCTATTGATCAGAATACGTGAGGAGTGAGAGTTAAAGATTTATATTTAATGAAGACATGCCACGTGTCACGTAAATAGCAATCTCTAGTACATGATTATGAATGAATGGATAAACAGGTGGTTCTGTCAAATATTTTTTATATTTATTCTTAGTTAGGGGATCGTCAGTATTACATAGCAGATAAACCCTTTAATATCTTTCTGTACTTTTTTACTTTATTATAAGTAGGGCAACATGGGTTTAGTGACGAGATAATTATACAGTGGATTTCTGGTAAAACGACGACGAAGGGACCACTGTAATTTCGTCGTTATATCCGGAAGTCGTTACAGGAAAAGGTATAGAGATACAGACACGTACAACGTTTAACGTATAATATTTATAAACAAACGATAAAGGTCACCGTATTTGCTGACCATCTGTGTGGATGTAAACAAAATATACGAAAGCTCTTTGCGTTTTTGGTGGCCGACTCCGGTCGCTATATCTGCATGGGATTAATAGGGATTTGTTACAAATGATTCATTAAAAACAGTCGCTACACTCGAACTCGGCGTTACATCCGAAGTCGCTATAACCACAAGAATTTTGAACTAAAGTATCCTTTAAATTCAAGAGACTTAGATTTAACGTCGCTATAGCAAAATGGTCGCTACAACCAAGGTCGTAATTAATGAAATCTCCCTTTTTTCTATTTCCAAAAAGGTAATTGTTTTTTTGTTGTTTACAACGTAATTTATATGAAAATTAATAATTAATAAGTATAACGATAATTTAATCAGTTTAATTCTTACTGTTCAATCGTGCTGCTTGATTGGTCAAATCGACGAGCTGTTCATAGGTGTCTTTGATTTTATTGCCTGAGTTTCGTCTCCATTCTGTCCAGACGTGTTGCAATTCTGCCCAGTCTCTGCTTTTGGCCATTACATCTGACAAATCGGGTTGAATTTTCAGACCGCATTGGAATGGATCTTTGAAGGCGCAAATTGAAGCACTATTGTACACTGCCAGCATATCGTTTATAAGGCGATTGTACTAAAAAATGAAAAATATTTTATAAATAATAAATTCCGTTAGTCGTCTGTTACAATTTTTGAATTAGAACATGAAACTGTAAACGTCTTTGTTTTACTTTAATTCATTTAATTTGATGTACTTTTTGCAGGCTTCAGCTGTCGTCCTTCTGAGGTGAATAGTCCACCAACAAAAGTCATTCTTGCCTGATAATTCATTCTTTATACTATCTTCCTCGATGTTGAATTGTTGCTTTCATAAGATAGTACAAAGGATGAATTATCAAGCAAGGATGAGTTTTCTTATTGGGCTATTCACCTTAAAAGGATAACGGACGACAGCTCAAGACTGCAAAAGGTATATCAATTTAGATAAACAAAAAACACCCCTCTGGTCGCCTTCATTGAAACAGATCGTTTTCCTGCTTATGATAAATAAGTTTGAAACATTTGTGTTGTCAAAGTGACCTATAATTTTGCAGTTAAAATTTCAAATTACTAACTTAAAGTAGCTGGACTAATAAAAGTAGTTTTCTATCCATTATGAGTTCCAAAAAAGTCATTATTCTGATAGGTAGGTACTTCAAATAGAACAGGTACTGAAGAAATCTTAGGAAGAGTTTGGAAAGCATTTTTTGACGATTTACTACCATTTCTTAAGTTTCCACATTGTTTAATAAGTGATATGCTACGATTTTACAGACGTAGTTGTAGACGGAGTGTTTTTAAACAAATGTTGCTGTATTAGTCACTCAAATTACTAATATCTCACACTTGTCTTCCTTTATTCTTACTACGCATGATCATTATTCCAGTTTGACAGCCGCGTTATCACATCGCCCTTTGTTATTACAAGCGTCAAGTGACGAAACACTCATACCAACTCGTGACCTTCGCAACAGCTGGTACACAGACAGTTCAGTTGTACGTGTAACGATTATTAGTTGTAGTCGGCACTCCGTAGTATTTCGAGTACTATGTGATTGACAAAGTTACTGTTATTATAACAAAATACAAAAATTAGTCGAGTGGACATGGTAGTCACATATGAACGATGCAATGAGGTTGCATCATTACCAGAGCAGTTGGGGGGTTCGGTAAGGTCATTACCCTCATGTTTATGTGTACCACTGAGTGGTGCGAGATGACTCATTCTATTTCTTTTTTTTTATGTACCTTCCTCTTTCTTAATTTTTAGAGAGTACTGATCAGACATAATGTGTATACCGTCTTAGGTTAGGACTCAAAGAATCTTTTGTTGGGTTTTTGAGGCACGTCTCTTCCTACCCTATGTGGAGCTCATATTAAAAACCTGTTATATCTTTCATTTTGTACCATTTAACCCATCAGCATTCATTTCTCTTTGGAAGTATATTTGAAATATGTACCCACAAACTACTTATATCTTCTCACAAACACATGATTGTGCTAAATCTTGATGGAACAGAAACTAATCATTTGGGTATAGACGGGGGGCATCTTTGGCTCTGATGTTACTTTTTGGACATTTGGATTAACAAAATGAAGTCGAATGTTATCACTATAAGACACGCCTGCCCTAGAGTGGTTTTCTTTTCCTTAAAGTCCTTAAGTTTTGGATTCCATTGATCACTGTTGATGTATTGAATTCTTCATTTACCATTGCAATTACTCATGTAACAGCATGCTTCATCTGTCGTGATGAGTTGCTGCCATGTTTGTTATTTAGTGCAATTCCAAAAATCTTTTGCGACGATTTTCAATATTCTTTGCACGCAGTCGACGAAATTTTTACTTTTTCTTGCTCGTTTTCTTCAACGTATAACTGACGTGATAACTAACGAATATTCTTTAGACAAGTCTTCAACCGTCTTGTCATTTGGATGAGTTTGGTTTGCTTGGTCTCAGTACCAGATTATTGGGCTTTCTTGATTTGTTTTCTCCGGTTTCTGAGATCCTTTTTGAAGTGTTCTTTGATTTTGTAGCTTTGTCCTTTTGACATTTTTGCTTCGCATTGCTTCATAAGTTTAATAGGAAACAATTGATAGTTTCCTCGCTATTTTACTACTGCTGTGCATGATAAGTAGCCTAACTTTTATGCTATATTGATGAACATCAAGATGACATTCAACTATTCAGCTACTAATAGCATTTTTCATTTTCGTGACAATTACTTTCAGTTCTGTACTGCTAAGTACAACCTTAAGTATTCTTCTTTTTATTTAAACACAAAAGTCAGAAGAAACAAAAAAAAAATGTTTAATGATAAAAAGAAAACTTACTCTGTCTAATTGGTCTGGCGGTAAAGCTGCAGGTCCTACCACAGCAAGAAAACGAACCAATCGATACGTTTGTATGTTTTGGACCTTATCGAACGTGACTTTTCGGAGAAGTTCCCATACACCATGTTGAAAATCGGAATAAACTTCTTGAGCGTTTAGCTGAAAAAAAGTAATATGAATTTTAAACTTTGTTTAAGTATAGTAACGGGAATTAACAGACAGAGTAATTAATAGACATTTATTAATGAATAGTTTTCCTAAGTCGATATAATAAAAATATTCAGCCTTCATCAAGGCAAAAGTCCAAAATAATCAAAACACATCCATAAGACTCCTTTAATCTCTCTTGTTCTCATGATGTTCCTCCCCCTAACTGAAGGAAGTCTTTTTGACTCTTCTAATTTTATTTTTTTCATTCGTAATGGTAAATGTCGAGGCTAGCCATTATCATGAATATTAAATTTTTATATTGAATAGGATAAGAATAGGATACAGTTGTAATAATATAAGAAAGGAGGCAGGGGTCATTTTGATAGAAAATGAGGAAAAGGCAGATAGGTGGAAAGAATATTTAGAGAACCTATACTCAGACAATGAATTAGGAGATATATTAGAGAAGGAACCTAGTGTGGAAATAGATGAGCTTGGTTATCCCATAATGAGAGAAGAGTTCGATGTAGCATTAAAAAATTTAAAGAATAATAGGGCGCCAGGTGTAGATGGGATACAGGTTGAAATTCTAAAACATGCACGACAAGAGGTTAGAGATCGTATGTTTAAGCTAGTTAGTCACATTTACGAAACGGGGAAAGTCCCAGAGGATTATAAACGGAACGTAGTAGTAACATTACCTAAGAAGAGGGGCGCGGATAGGTGCGAGACATTTCGAACAATTAACTTAACTTCCCATGCGTCAAAAATCTTAACTAGGATTGTACAGAGGAGGATGGAAAAAAAGGGCGGAAGAACTATTAGGGGAAGATCAATTTGGGTTTAGAAGAAATAGAGGAACGCGGGAGGCCATTCTAGCTTTACGGGTAACAATAGAGAAAACGATAGAAATAGAGAGATTTAGAGAAAGCTTTTGACAATATTAAATGGGACAAGATATTAAATGTACTTAAAGATGTAGGGATAAGTTACAAAGACAGAAGAGTGATACTTAGTTTGTATAAAGGGCAACAGGCAGTTATAGAGGTAGGGATGCATCGTAGAAGAGTAAATATTAGGAAGGGAGTCAGACAGGGATGCACACTGTCACCGCTACTTTTTAATCTATACATCGAAGACGCCATCAACATTATTAAAGACAGTACAACTGTAGGGATAGACGAGCAAGGGCAAAAGATTAGTATGCTTAGATTTGCAGATGATATAGCAGTAGTAGCATCTAGCAAGGAGAACCTAGGGATAGCTTTAAATAAAATGGAAGCGATACTGACAGATCAGTACTGGTATTGTATTGGATATACGGGTAGAACATCTTCTCAGGCATCAAGGTCTAGTCAGAGACATATTAGAACAAGAAAGAGGAGTTAAGAGGAGTAGAGGTAGACCTAGATTAGATTACTGTTTGCAAATAGTTAAGAATGTAGGATGTTCTATTTTCAGGGAAATGCGAAGATTAGCTCAGGATTGGACGGAGTGGAGGTGCGTGCCCAACCAGTCTTAGGACTGAAAACCTTATGATGATGTCATATTTGACCACGGTACCTAAAACTTTTACATTCAATGAGTTTATTTTTGTGTTACTGAGTGTTAAATTATCCAAGCTCTATATTCTGCCATCACAATTTGCCATAACATTTAGTTTGTATTACTTAATTAGCGTGAAAGATCAGACATTTGTATTCGTATTGCGTTCAAGATATTACGATAATGTGTGCAATGGTACTTAGGTAGTTAATAGGTAACGAATTTTTTGTTAATTTACAAGAAGGTTGTAGAGGTTACCCCAGTTATTTATTATCGTGTAGTATACAGTATTCTTGTAGCAACTACACACTGAAAATTGGATCAATGTCATCCGTACAACAAATATATTAAACGGACGTGGGAAAATCTCTAAGGCACACGCATAATTTCTTTTATTATTTCTATAAAAAATTGTGAAAGAAGTAGGTACTTATTATTTATAATACGTTTCGAAACAAATTGCCATCTCAGCAAGGTGAATATTAAAGTTAACAATTTCTTATTCTGTTATGCTATCTACATAAAGAAAACTAAAAATATGTTACTGCAATTTATTATTGTCAATTATAGCGTAATGGAGACGTCTGAAATGTTTTTGGTAATCTTTTTTTAAGGCAAAAACAAGCACGTATAAAAGGGGGGTCATAATCTCGTTTCCCCATAAGATTTATGGCTTACAATAAATATTAACTGTAATTCCCGGCGCTGTTTTGACCATCCTAATTATCGGCTTTTCAGACGAACAGTCTCAACATTGGGTTATCAATATTCCGTATTGTTGTGCATAAATGCAAATACAAAAAAATTGGTCTGAGCACATTTTGGTCGGTGCTAATACGACTAACTTCCCATTAGATAATACAGTTATTGTAAAGTACATTCGTTTCTAAAGTTTGAAAAAAACGCGGCACAATAATAAATAACAAACAATGTTTGAGAGTTCGTCATTTTATAAACCCATAAGAAACAGTATTTCGTCTGAGAAAACCGAATTGATAGAGTACTTGCATCAGTCAATTGGTAAATACTATTTTTTATTGTTTATCGATTGTTTATAACAATTCATTTTGTTATAAACAAATTTTTATTATAATATGTTATTATAATATGTTATTCCCTGTCTTGAATAATGATATTTCGTTATTATTGATTCCGTAACTTCATTGTTGTGATTAGATTAGAACGTATTTTAATTAAATTGTTTGTAATTAATTCGTTTTTTTTTTTATAAAAAAAAAACGGCTTGACCGATTTCGTTCAAATTTCTTTCAGATCTTCATTATGATAATATCTTTCGAAAAAATTTTGGTTGAGGGCGATATCTCAATCCGTTCTTGAGATATCGAAAACGAAAAAAATGCTGACATACGAACGTACGTACATACGTACGTACGTACGTACGTACNTTCTGAGATATGGAGAGCTATCTAGAGACAGATTATAAGTAAAAACGGAGTTATGAGGGGTAGATGTGGAATTACGATTAGAGTACATTACTGTTCTCAAATAGTTAAAGATATTATAATGTTCATGGATTTAACGTTTTTGACTTCTAAGACTGATAACGACAAAAACTATTTATTTACACTAATTATTAAAGAACTTAAAAACACTATTAAATTATTACTAAACTTAGGTTATGAATTATTCTATTTATTTACACTACTGTTGATGTATCACTATTCACTGCGCTATTTATTTCACTGCTGTCACTGTCAATTTACTTCTGCAACGGTCAATTTATTTCTTTTTTTCTCGGCGATCGTCTCTTCCTTTAAATACTCTTTTGTTTACTTTCGGGAACCTTCTGGAAACATCCGGATAGTTTATTTTTTCTTTGAACTGTTTAACTGCTTTCCCAGAACGCAGGTACGACACACTCATTTACAAATACGGCGCACATGAAGAAAGGCGCCCGTGGCTAGTCGGCGAATCGATAAGCAGTTCACGCACAAGTGTGCCCGATCGCATACAAACACACTCGTGCTCGCTACAATACTATTTTTATCTTGCATTTAACTACTTTTTTTAATGGGTTTTTGTTAATTACGGTAGTAAATTCGGTTGGAATTCGTTCGTTATTCGCACTATTTATTTATATTACTCGTCATCTGTCTATATAGAAATCAACTTTTGTCATTCAGAGACCTATGTAGATATATATTATCATCAAATTTTCCATTATTTTTCTCGAGAATTCTACTGTTAAGCAGGTAAATATGTGTCATTCAGGGTATGATTTATTACCCTTTGCGTTTTTAGCATAAATGTTGTCGACCATTGACCGATCCCTGCCTGTGGGCATACTCAAGAGTCGTCGGGAATCAATGCATTGTATGTATGTGCTTCTACGTGACAATGTCCATGTTACAGGATTATAATATAATAAGAAATGATCTTGGCATAAAATAGTAACAAAAAGTATCCTAAAATTCAATGTTTGGTTCTGATAAAAATGCCACAGTTTCTGATTTACTTCTTGCGTCTAATCAAAATATAAATAAATGGGAACTCTATCAAAATTTCTGATAGCATGTGCTTTGTTATACAGGTAAGAAGATAGTACACGACTTATCAAGAATATTAAAAATTTCTGTAGTTGTATGGAGTATTTATGACATAAAGTTTTGTTTATCTATTTATTATATTTATAGATAAGTCAAAACACAAAATAATTTAAATAAAAGAATTAATAAACATGCATTATTATGACTGTGTGTCATACAGTCAATTTTATGTGAGTCATAATAACATTAAACATGAATATTTATTCATTATTTCCGCTAGGTGAATATGTATCAAACTACGTCATGATAATGATAAACAAACCTTAATTCCAGGTATGTCATGATTCTGTCAGATGTTGTAGATTACTAATATTGTAAAAGATCGAGTTTTTGTAATTAATTAACATTCATAACCCCGATTTTGCCATTGTTTATTTTGATAATTATTATATTCGATACATTAAAGTGAATTGATTTTTGAATTCATTTTTTATCACTAGAAATAAAAGGAATAATAAGGAAAAATTGTTGCTGCTGTTACGCCCTCCCCGGGAATCGAACCCGGGTCCTCGTTTTTACGCACTATTACTGCCCTTACCACTAAGCTACGACAGCGGCAATCTTGCCTAACAAAAAAGAATTAATTCACTTTATTAATATATTGAAATTAACCCTACAAAACTTCTTTGAAATAATTCTTGTATTTTTTAATTTTTACTCCATTTCATGTGACATTAAAAAGCAACACAGACATACTTTTGCTCATTATTAAGGCTTTTACGTGTTTATTAACCTTTATTATATAATAAATATCACATCAGTCAAAACACAACTAATTTGTACCCACACGGTTAGTTATATTCCTTTTACAGTCGGTATTGCCAATTAAATAACATTTGCTGCATTGTATGCTTATAATCGGTGTGAAAACTGTTTGGTTAATTACAGCAAATTCATTAATTATTCTTTTGTTTTGTGCAAATAATTTCCTGAACAGAGTTGATTGTTCTTCATCGATGTACATATATTCACAATTAACTTTCACTTGGTCTTGGCCAATTTACTTTTAGTGTAATTTCATTTTTTCTTTCCTTTTCTTATTTGGTTTGACATAAATTGTAACTAGATGTAACGACTCCATTTTTAAAAATAAACTCTGACCACTGACTTAAGGAAAATAGTTGTTCGACATTGAATTTGATCCTAACAGAATTGTTTGAAAGTTTTGACAAAGGTTGGTGTGGAGATACATTCGGATACGTAATTATGACTACACTGAAGAAACTATATACCTTCTTACGATCAATTTCATTACTTTGGTATTTTATGCAGTATCATAGTTTTAGTGTTTTATCTAAAACTCGCATCCCTATACCAATACCATCTGGTTATTTCCCGGGTAAAAAGAAAATTCGCCCAAAATAATCCATAGCCAAAAATTTTGACTTACGTACCTTAGGATCACTTGAAACAGTAAAAATCATTTTTTTTCTGACAACTTAGAATTCAAAACAGTATTGTATAAAAATAAATAAAAGTGAAACAAAAATACTAGTATGCAAGAGAAGTAAGACTAGGACAAGAGGGTATATAAAGCTAGGAGACAAAAATGTAAGAATTGATTGATTTTTTGTATCTAAGAAGTCAGATAACTCAGGATGGAAGGAGTAGTATAGATATAAAACAGAAGATAGCATAAGGTACAGACGCCTTTAATAAAAAGACGTCACTTCTACACTGGCGAACGGTTAATTTAGAAATTTGAAATAGATTGTGAATGATATGTGCCTGGAACATGTCTCTGTACGGGTGTGAAGCGTGGACGGTTATCGCGACGAAATAAAAAAGGTTAGAAGCGTTCGAAATGTGGTATTACAGATGAATGATAAGAATACCATGGATGGAGAATGTTAGACATGATGAGGCATTAGAAAGAATAGGAGAAAAGAAATTACTATAGAAGCCAATAAGAAATAAGCGAAATAAGTTGCTAGGACACCTTCTCAAGCATGAAGGGCCCGTAGAGACATATTGGAAGCAGAAATAAGAAATGTGCTTGCGTAATATGCGAATCTATGATTTTTTTCTTAGGTTAGTTAAATTACATTAGTAGTAAATAATTAATATTGCGATCCGTCAAATGGGAGGAGCCTAAAAACATGGCGCCGATTAGGGAAAATTTATCGTAGTTCCTATAGTGTACCTACCGTGCAATTTCCAAGTTTTTAAATTACGATAAAATGATAAGTATTGACACAATATGTGATTGGGCTGACACAAAGGCTCGAAAAGGAAATTTCGTTGAAGGTGAGCGTGTTTTTAATGCCAATCACATTATAAAATTCGGAAATAACAAATTCCGTCAAGTTTACCGCCTACTTTTTACAAACTTCGGATTTAAAAAGTGATTCACGTTATATAATTAGTGAGGTGATTCTGGGTGATTTAAGCAATATCATACCAATGACTTGCACGTGCAAAGCCGATTTAAGAGAACGTTGCAAACACATTATTGCAACTTTGTTGTATTGCAGCAGGTAGGTTCTTAACCTCAAAATACTTATATCGTATCATTAGAATTGTGTTAAATCAATTACACAGGAATAAATAATTTCTCACTTTATAATTTTAGTATGATTCTAGTTTTAAATATTAAGGTTATGGCTGATGGTAAATACTTGCTGAAATATAATCATGTGCATTAAAATGACGTGAACAAATTTTTATTCCGGAATTCACTTCTTTGATACCTACTGCTTTCATCCAAGCTTCTATTAGTTTACTTTTTTCTCTAATTTTCCGAATATATTTTTTACATATATAAAACGGTTAGTTTTTATTGGAAAGTAGTTAATGTAGGTGAAGAGTGAAGATCTATGTCTGAAGTGCTATTGCAGCTTTTCACTGAACATATTAACTTTTTATTTGATTTAACTTTAGAAGAAAACTTCGTCGACTCCATCATCAAAAAAATTTTTACTTTTTTAACGTGTTTTATTATTTTAATAAACAATTTTACAATTTGCGTGCACAGTTCCTATTTAAATTTTTCCCTCATTCGAGTTATAAATTTTGCCACCAGATGGTGTATGCCCATTTGACGGATACCAATAGCAGTGCTATATGGCATTTTTCATCTTTTGGATAAAATATTTTGTTATTGCCCGTTTAAATCGATATGCCATTATTCTTATCTAATGAATGCAGCAATTAAATCTGGTACCCATATCAGACATGGTATAATATTATTACGTTCCCTTTTATAAATAATGCGTACTCAGTTGTCTTGGCATGGCTTTGAAGGAAGATGTTAAATAACAGATTAAATGAAAAGATTCAAGTGTAGATAATGATACCCAAGTCCTGGGAATTGACCACGGACGTTCCCAGGTCTTCTAGGTAACTATCAGCGTTTTACAATTGAATCATGTGTGCCGTGCCTGCTCAACAGGAAACTAACATGCATGAGAATTAATAAAAGAAAGTACACATTAATGGAAAAATTATAAGAAACAATTTTAAGAGGCATCACGGACATCAATTTTTCTTAAATATAAAATATTGTGGTAATTTTTTAAAAATGGAATTTTAACTCAAAATTAATTTATAAAATTTTTAATGTTAGAGAAGTACATTACTAACAAATCAATTTTCAACTACAGGTTCCTGATGCCTTACTCATTCATTTTATTCAAAGCATTCTTATATTTTTAAAAGTGTGGACTATGTAACGGTATACATATATACACATGTACCAAACATACAAAACCCTTGCGAGATAATGTTGGTCTGCAATTCCAAGTTAAGACGTTTCGTGCCTTCCACCTTCTTTATAATTTATAATTTAACGTTGGCTTTCATAACTACTAGATTATGATCGCATCTGTATCTGCTCCTGAATAACTCCTACAGCCTGTCACTTGATTTTTAATCTTTGCCTAAGAAGTGTGTAATCTAACTGACATCTCCCTAAATCACCAGCATCTTCCATGTAGCGCCTCCTAACATGTTGATCAAATAAAGTATTCGTGATGATTACCAAAAGAACCTGTTAGTAAAGAAAAAAGTTTTCCTTTTTTGCAACTAATGAATTTTTTTGTTTAAACACCGAAAGTCAAGTTTGCCTAAAAAAGAACCCGATTCGAGTCGATGGAATCGGCGAATCGAAAATCGACCAGAGTTCCTAAATGCTCTTACAAAAGAAGACTTCCAGCGTTGCTTTCACCAAACGATTGGAACAGTGTGTGGCGGGGGTAGAGGAATACATTGAAGAAGAGAATAATTCTTAAAATAAAACTCGTTTTCGTAAGCAGTATCGTTATTTAATAGCCAGACCTCGTATATGAAACGATGTCTAAAGATATTTGTACAAATTTTTGTATACCATGCCGCATTTCTCAAATAATGATTAGATGTAATAGAATGTCTATCAGTTTGGTTCTCAACTCGCCATTAGTGTATTTACTTTAGATGTTAGATTATTATTAGATTTAAATTTAGTACGTTATGTACATACAGGTTAGGCAAAAAGTACATCAGAAATAGGCATTTTTTATTTATGTTGCTAGTGTAAATAGTTTCCATAAATTCATATTCATATCACTGTTACAAAGTTGGTACATCTAAATTGTTTATTTAAAACTGCAAGCTAATACCTACCTGCCTGCTGTGTTAGTAGGTCTAGTAGCAAACTTTTTAAATGGCGGAATCAATAATTATAACCCAAAAGTCTAAAGTGAGGAGTCGCGAGTCGAATTCAAGATCACGAAGATGCTGGGTGGTGAAGCGGCTCTTACCGTCTTCAGTCACCCTGTGATAATTCCCTGCCATTTCTACGTTTCCCAATTATCTAATAAGCTAGGCTAAGATTATTATTAATTAACTATAGTTAAATTGTTGACTAGCTTATTCTACAAGAAATTGTATTAATCCACTTTCAATATTAGATTAAAGTAATTGTATCCGATTTCTAAACTTATAAATTTGTTTGATTATGACACTAGGCACATCGATCTGAACAAATTTGCAAATATTGCTCATAATAATAATAATGTTGTTGCAGCGTAAACCACAGGAATTCATTAAGAGATGTTTTTGTGTGCTGAAGTACTTCTGAATGCCAATGCCAAAATAATTCTCTATGATTATTAACGGAAATTTTAAATGGTCTTTTTGTTTTAGAAAATTTGCCTATGTAGGCACCTTCATAAAAATGGACAATCAGTTCAAGTATTCGTATTTAGTAACGCTTTGTTTTCAATGTCAAAATGAAGTATTGTAAACATTGTACTAAAGAATTTTGTATGAAAATTAACTAGAATTCTACAGAGATAGATACTTAGTCGAAAATGTCTATCTAAATCATAGTTGAACTGGCGCACTTGGGGTTTTTATTAAGTATAATTTTTTTTATTTTAAAGAGGGCTTTTCGAAAATTTTAGAAATTAATTGAAACATTTTTCTATAGTATCGTATAATAATTTTAATATGTATTGTTTAAATATATGGTACAGCTTTTCATAGGTAAATCAATTTTCGTCATAAACCAGGTTGTAAATATACAAATCGTGATTTTTGGTGGTCCCTCAGTGTTAAAAATATTTTTAAAAAAATGCTTATAAATCTCTTTTGAGCAATAATAGGTGGAATTGAAAGCATATTGTCCCATGTTCACATCTAAGATGCTCCTTTTAATTGCCACTTGCGATTAGAGTCAGTTCCCTATTTTAAATCTGACGTATGTAAATAGTAGCTACTAAAAATCGTATCTGAAGGTTCACTTTCCAATTTGTTTTTTTCAAATTTTGTAATATGGCGGGGATAAACGTGTTCAACTCATCCACAATTGCAGGCTCTATAGATAATGAGCAATTTTCCCTCATCTGCGCCATGTTTTTCAGACTCCTCCCATCTGATAGATCCCTGTATTATTAAACAAGTATATCGCCACATGATCTTGATCTTTTAGCTGAATTTGTGGATCCAAATTCTCAATATTAGTATTAATTAGATTAATCTCTTTTTAAGTGAAATAAAGAACATGTGGTGTACAATAAACTGTCAATAAATACTTTTTTTCGATTCATGTAGATTGTATGCAACCAACAATACAACATGTACTAAATTCAAATATCCCTAGACGATTTCAGTAGGGGGCGTTTCAAAATTAGAAAACGTTGCGTGTAGTAGATATTTTATGAAATGCCAAAATAAGTAATATATTTAGTAGTATAATATAAAATAGGAATAAATCGAAATGAATAAGAGAGGCAGATAGGCAAGAATCGCTATTTTATTATCTTTAATAAATAGCCAAAATTCACAATGACAACACCGACTAATAATTGACGGACAACAGTACTTTTAGTAACTAACTAGCAGCCCGATTCAGAGCGTCAATCCTAAATGAACAAATACACTATCGATTACTAAAACTGAGATCAAGTGGCTCTCGATCGTTCATGAAAGCACTGTATATTCTAAGTGCAAAGAATTGTGTTTAGCTTAGGTATTTTTCCAGCATTTTATTTTTGTAATACTAATGAATAAACATGGCAATCGCTAATTGCAATTGTTTAATAGATAGAAAATGAACGAGCACAGGCACCTTGGAGACATTACGTTAAGCACTACAGCACTGCAAGGTAAAGATGTCGTAATATTTAATTGCAAGAGTGCAATCAAGTAGGCACTTAGCTCCTGTTATAATGGGGTGATTGTTGTAACCCTAATGTCAATGTTAAGTTCGTTGGGTTGCACATATTCTATATATGTGTATATATACGTTAGGTGTTTAGATTTGCGTGTAATTTACTTGATAATAAAAGTGGAAATAAAGTTAAACTTAACAATTGTTCTTTTTGTCATTGTAAAAATTGCGTAAATTGTGAGTAATTTACTGAAACAATAGTTCACGTATGTGATTTCGCAATTTCACTTTTTTAAACTTTGGTAAAAATGTTGATGTAAAGGTCCTTAATGAAGGACACAGATGTTATGGAAATTAAGAAGAAATAAAGATGTTGTACAGTACTTATAAATGTTGTCGTAAAAGCCCGATTTCAGTTGAAAAGGGATCTGTCTAGGAAAAACTAGTTTTACATTCCTTTTTGGTCAATAGGTACTAGTTTTGACTAGGTAAAACTTCAATTAACAAATATCCCTAATTCGTTATAGTTGTGACCAGACACATTTTTTTAAAAGCTAGTCGTTACTACACTGTTCAGTAAATCCTAGATTTAACGTTCATGCAGAGCGTGAACTTGTTTATTAATTTTCACTAATTTCTTTTACAACAACACTCACGAAGTGATTATGTATTAATATTAAATGGACCGCCGTCGTCTCTATCCATTTAGATAACACCGGACTTGACGACAGGCCCAAACCTGAACCCAGTAGTGTGAAACTATGGATTGATTTGTCAATGAGTGTCATGGTTCGGTACATTAATATTTCGACAAGGTAGATCGTATACTGGACTGTCAAGTACAGGTTTGTCAAAACTAGTCTAATATTCAGCTAATCAATATGGGTCAAGGTTTTGCCAAAATTGGTCTAGTATTAGGCTGTCGAATAGAGATTTGTCAATACTGGACCAATGTTTGGACAATCTTCAAGTGTCAAAGATCGGTACATTAATGTTTGGTCAAGGTTGATCCAATACTGGGCTTTCGAGTACATGTTTGTCAATACTGCACCAATCTTCAAGTGCCAAGATTTGGTACATTAATATTTCACCAAGGTTGAACCAATACTGGGCTGCCAAGTACGGATTTGTGTTACTACTGCATCAATGTTCCCTCAATCTTCAAGTTACAAGGCTCGGTACAATACATTAATGTTTGTCCAATACTGGGCCGTCAAGTACGCGGTTATTAATACTAGACCAATGTTCAGTTAATCTTCAAGTGCTAAGATTCGGTACATTAATATTTCACCAAGGTTGAGCCAATACTAGTCTGTCAAGTATATGGGTTTGGGTTACTACTGTGCCAACGCTCGCTCAAAGTGCCGAGGTTCGGTACATTAATATTTCGCCTAGGTTTGTCAAATATTGGGCCGTCAAGTACGCGATTATCAATACTGGACCAATGTTCAGTCAATCTTCAGCTGCCAAACTTCGGTACATTGATATTTCAGCAGCGTTGATCCAGTACTGGGCAGTCAAGTACAGATTTGTGTTACTACTGTACCAATGTTCGCTCAATCTTCAAGTGACAAGGCTCAATATAGTAATGTTTCGCCAAGGTTTGTCCAATACTAGGCCGTCAAATACGCGGTTATCAAAACTGAACCAATGTTCAGTCAATCTTCAAGTGCCAAAATTCGGTACATTGATATTTCGGCAGGGTTGATCCAGTCCTGGGCTGTCAAGTACGGATTTGTGTTACTACTGTACCAATGTTCGTTCAATTTTCAAGTGACAAGGCTCGGTACATTAATGTTTCGCCAAGGTTTGTCCAATACTGGGCCGTCAAGTACGCGGTTATCAATACTGGACCAATGTTCAGTCAATCTTCAAGTGCTAAGATTCGGTACATTAATATTATTTCACCAAGGTTGAACGAATACTGGGCTGTCAAGTACGGATTTGTGTCAATACCGCACCAATGTTCGTCGAATCTTCAAGTGACAAGGTTCGGTGCATTAACGTTTCGCCAAGGTTGGTCCAATACTGGACAAATTCCTGATTGCCTTTACTACTAATTTATTTAAATAATATTTTTTTGAAATTATTGTTCTTTTCCGTTTAAATAGAAAGGTACTAACTAGTTGCTGCTGTTACGCCCTCCCCGGGAATCGAACCCGGGTCCTCGGTTTTACGCACTATTACTGCCCTTACCACGAAGCTACGACAGCGGCAATTTTCCCTAACAAAAAAAGAATTAATTGACTTTATTCTTATATTGCAATTAACCCTACAACACTTCTTTGAAATAATTCTTGTATTTTTTAATTTTTACTCTATTTCATGTGACATTAAAAAGCAACACAGACATACTTTTGCTCATTATTAAGGCTTTTACGTGTTTATTAACCTTTATTATATAATAAATATCACATCAGTCAAAACACAACTAATTTGTACCCACACGGTTAGTTATATTCCTTTTACAGTCGGTATTGCCAATTAAATAACATTTGCTGCATTGTATGCTTATAATCGGTGTGAAAACTGTTTGGTTAATTACAGCAAATTCATTAATTATTCTTTTGTTTTGTGCAAATAATTTCCTGAACAGAGTTGATTGTTCTTCATCGATGTACATATATTCACAATTAACTTTCACTTGGTCTTGGCCAAATTACTTTTAGTGTAATTTCATTTTTTTCTTTCCTTTTCTTATTTGGTTTGACATAAATTGTAACTAGATGTAACGACTCCATTTTTAAAAATAAACTCTGACCACTGACTTAAGGAAAATAGTTGTTCGACATTGAATTTGATCCTAACAGAATTGTTTGAAAGTTTTGACAAAGGTTGGTGTGGAGATACATTCGGATACGTAATTATGACTACACTGAAGAAACTATATACCTTCTTACGATCAATTTCATTACTTTGGTATTTTATGCAGTATCATAGTTTTAGTGTTTTATCTAAAACTCGCATCCCTATACCAATACCATCGGGTTATTTCCCAGGTAAAAAGAAAATTCGCCCAAAATAATCCATAGCCAAAAATTTTGACTTACGTACCTTAGGATCACTTGAAACAGTAAAAATCATTTTTTTTCTGACANTTTTCCGTTTAAATAGAAAGGTACTAACTAGTAGCTTCGTTTTTAAAATTAGGATGCTTATTTCTAGTATTCGTTTATAAGAT